TGTTGTAGTAAAAATGTAAAATTGATACTCCGTATTACTTTACAATAGATTGAAACTTGAAAGTGGTTGGTTCTCAACATATTTTTCAAATTGATATTTTTTAATTTATAACGAACAGTTGGTATTATTCAACTTTGAAAAAAGCTTAATGTAAGAAGTGTATGTAATTTGCACGGTTATGTATTAGTCTATATGGCTATTGTATGGCCCTTTGTGTAGTAGTATTGCCTCCTGCTTTCTCATTTAAGAGACCACGCTCACTTTGCCTCAGCTAGCTATCTGCCTGCTCCTTCATGTTCGTTCGGAGAAAAAGGCATTTTTTTGGTAAAACAGATCCAATCCAACCCTCATTCAGAAAATGGATGGATGGCCTTCAACATATAACATTATGTGTTATTCTCCTTTAGGGGGATAGAATCTACATTTTCAACATCTTCTGTGATCAAAGGTTTTGGTTTCCTTCTAAATAAGCTTTTTGTGTAAAGGGAGCCAAATACAATCACCTGGAGAGAGAGAGAAGTTAAACAATGACAAGCTTTTGCACTTGTTTTGGGGAATTATATACACGCAGAAATGATTCAATTACTTACAGCTCCAACACATTGTTCCCAGCTGAGAGGGTGTCCAAACCACAAGCATGACAGGAAAATGCTAGCCAACTGAAACGACAGGGCATTAAAAATTAGCACTCTTCATTGTTCAGTATAGCGTTAGCCTTTTAGGAGGCATTTGATTCACAGAATGTGTCAAAACCTAAGTAATGTAACATATCCATGGTTGGTTCTGGTAATCTGATTACCTCTGTAATGTAACATATGCTTGGACTTTTGTAAGATTTACCGATATAATATTTTAGATTAAACTGAGTTTCTTCTCGACAGTTTAGCACCACCAGTATTATCAGATTTCACAAACCAAACAACGTAAACTGAATTTTTGGTAATTCATCTAACCTTAGCAGTAATCCTATTACCTATGGTAAGTTCACGTTCCATGAACCAAAAGCCCCAATGTTAAATATGATATCCATACCTGTCTTGTGGTCATTATTGTAGCAAAGGTGAGAGCCCCAAAATTACGGATTGTGTAAGAAATAAAGAATTGACTGGCTGTAGCCACCTGTGATGTAGATTAGATTGGTTGATACTACATAATTGTCTTAATATTTTTAAGGTAGCAATTTTAGATTATAAAATGAAAGTTGGGGCATAAAACTTACAGCTGAAAGGAGAAGAATGTCAAAGAAACAGTCATGGTGAAGTGAAACAAAATTTATTGCCATGAGAAGATTTCCCTGTAAGATTAGACCTAAACATGAAGCACAAAGACACAGAGTAAGAGATCCTACACTTGCCCAAACAGGAATAAAAAAGGGAGCTTTTGCAATTTGGTAGTGCACTCTTACATAAATATGCCTGCAGTACAAATCAACAGAATAAATAGAAAAGATAAAGCAATAAAATTAAACAATCATCAGAGCATAAAATGAATCCTACCAAAGAAACTGAGGAAACAAGTACATAATGTTGTGTAGAAAATCTGGTTGTGTATTTCCATGTCATAGCCTTTAAATAGTTTATCCTGGAATGTGCTTGTAAATCCATCAAACCTGGTAATACAGAATATGTCTTACTTGTCAATGGAAATATCGAAGGAGAAACAGAGCAAGTCAAAATACTTCGCATAGCGTTAAGGGAAGTACTTTTTTTATTTGCACTCATTCCAATTGCAACATTAAGCCTTGGGATCAAAAGAGAGGAAGGAGGAGGTCAAGTGGTTAAAAATACTTTATATTTGTTACCATGGAGTGAGAAGGAATTAGTATTTTTGAAAATTATTGTTTATACTCATATTTGTTTATATTATCTGCCCATATCATAATAAAGTAGTGTAGAACATAATTTGGAAAAAAAGGTGAAACAAATCAAGAAACAGACTAACTTCCCAAGAGTATACCATATTGGGGGAGTGGCATATGAAGATCTTATAGCTCCTCTACCTTCTTATCCTCCCCTCTAATTCCTAGAATTAAAAATATACTTCTTCACTCTCCTCCATTCCCTCCCTTTCTCTCCCAAATCTTTCCAACCAAACAAAGGCTAAAGGACTAAAAGATGGGAAGGAGGGGATTAAATGGATCAAAAGATACACCCTCTCTTTACAGAAAAAAGTGGATATATCAAAATAAACTGAATGAAATATCACAAGGTTTGAAACGAGAACAAGAAGCGTTGGATTCATACCCAAGATACCCGATCATAAGGGAAACTCCCCAAACAGTGCTTTCTCTTCCGTTACTGTAAGGGTTAACGTCACCTGCTGCCTACAACCAAAAGCACATTGCAGGTATTCACCGAACTGTTTGTCATTATTTAGAAATCCATTTAAAATATCAACCACACTCGAGCAAACTTTTCCCATCATATGATATCCTGTTTATTTAACATTTTATTTCCATTACAGGATGTACAGCAGTTCTGAAAATTACAAGATGCTATGATTACAACATGCTGGGCCTTCCATTTTCATGTCACGCCCAATCAGGACTCCCAGGAGTTGAGTGTGAAGGATACTCAATTCTCATATAAACAAATATTCAGCAGAGAGCGAGTTCCTCATATCGACTGGACTATATTCCACTGAGCAGTTCTACGAGGTAATTTTTTTGAAATTGGCGAGTGTGCATACAAGCATCAATCCAAAAAGAAACATCAAGATACCTAGAACATGAGTGTCACGTCACAGAGATGAAAGTGTGACATTACACTTGGGATGACTAGGAAAATGTATGATTACAAGTATTTCTGAATTTATGATGAAGAAACAGGTGTGACATCTATATTCCACGAAAGATCATCTTATAAGGACATTAGAGAAGGGAAAAGGAGGACTCTTTGACTTAGAACTTTCAGTCTTTCATATAAATCCCAGACTCTTGGAAACTGAAAGGCACGTCCTTCAGAAGAGTCGAATGGAGAAATTTCATCAGATTTGGACCATTTGGTTGGTTTACTGCATAAGCATTACCCAGAATTCGTAAAGGTAAGATAAAGAATTTGTTGTTACCGGGTATAGGATAAATAATGAACACCCAAGCGTCACCAGGAAAGCCAACAAATAATCTTGCCCTTGGTACTTCTTTTGCATGATAAGAGTGCCCCAAATCTACATGGCCACAACAGTGAAACTGTAATTAAACACCACATTTCATTAAAAAACTACCATGTCTATAAAATAACAATCAAGGTAACTTCTTTTAGTGCAATACCATGAAAATACAGTATTTTGACACCCAAAAGAATCATGACAATCTCTATATGCACCTAAATGATAAAAGTGTGATCTTGATATAGATGTTACCTTACCCCAACCAAAGAGATGAGCACTAAAGAGCCTTTCTAGAGATGTAAATTGGAAAAAGATAATCACAGCTGAGCATGAACATCTAACCAGAAGGGAGTTGAAGAAAATGTAAATGCCAAATACATGAGTTTAGTCACAAAACAAATAATTAGTAGAAGGGCCAGTGTCTGAATACCATGGTCAGCAAGTCAATAATCAAGGATGAGGGAATATTATAATAAGAATCCAAGGCCTTGTGAGGGTAGGGGTAACGTTTTTCCAAAGTAGTCATATAGTTATATTTCCTGCCAAACTTAGAAATATGAAAAGCATACCATTACTGGAATCATCTTGGCACATTTTGCTAAGGTTTGAACAGGAAAGCTAACATATTTGAGGGCCTGAAACACAACAAAACGAAATAGTTATTTTTACAACACCCATGTAGAACAGTTTCAGTGAGAATATCAATGTTCTAAAATAGTGTACAATATTGGGAGTTGGGACCATAAGATATACAGCACATAATGAGACACAAAACTAACCTCATACTGACATGTAGTGGTCAACATGTTTGAAACAGATATTATACAATATTTATAAATTGGAGCTACGGGATCTAAGACCTTCTTACTTGCCTGAAAACAGAGAAGATAAATAAAATTAAAATTATCAGTAACTCAGATGCTATAATTTGTATAACCTGATAATCATCTTAGATTATTTCTGAAGATCCCAAATCATTTTAATGAGAAAGAAACAAAAATAAAGTTCTGCTTGAAGGGCTGCGCTTGTTAGACTTTTCATTTTAAAATAGGGAATAAGAAATCTACCCAGCAATAGCAAATTACCAGTAAAACTCCACCAGAGACCGCAGACGTTGTAATGCGATTGCAGAACACAAGAAACAGTGAGTAAGTGAAATACTCTTTATCTGATCCATAGGGAACTCTCATTATTTTTTCCTGCAATGGAACATTTTCTGCGTTCAAAGCCTCTTCACAGTTGCTAGCGTATAAAACCCTGAATTTTATAATTTTCTACCGAATCAAAATAGTTGTAGATGCAAAACGTGTGAGGTGGCTTTCAATTGGGAATGTATAAACCCTAACATTTGTGACATATACATTTGCAAGAGGCAGCAATTAATTAAACAATTTTGGAGAAGCATCGATTTTTAATGATCAGTATGAGTGTGTAAGGAGAGCTGGTTACCTGTAAGACACCATAGATGACGAGAGTAGACATGATTCCCGTCACCGCAAATATCCCCTTGAACAGCTTGTTTTCTTTCACCGGCGGCGACGGAGTCTCCGCCATATACCATCCAATCGTAAACAAACAACCACCGTCCAGCAGCTCCTCCTGAATGTACAGATGCGTACGGATCTCCGGGGAAGATCGCCGGCAAAAGTAGAGAGAAGTTTTTACAGTTCCGCGGCTTAGTAACTTTGTAACGCTTTTCCTTTTTTACTCTACACTAGTAAAAATATTATCTATTGCCACATCAAACGCGTGGGACCTACTCTACACTAGTCTCAGTCTCGCACTCTCGGCCTCTGGGGTTCAGCTAGTGTGCATACAGTTACTCCCGGTGATCATATTCCATTTCAATTCAGGCGGGGACACACCTTTCTAACTAGAATATGTTTTATTAGTATGTCTTCACATGATTAGTGAAAAAAGAGTTCATATATATCGAATGTTTAAATGTATTAAAAGAATGATAAATGTAATACGTGATAAAAAGTTATATAAGAGGGTATAATTAGGAATAGATTGGTCAAAATTGTTGCAGAAAATGAGACAATGCTTTAAAAGAAGAATCAATATCGATATATCAATATATATTACAATGTGCTTGCATTTATATATATTTTGAAACACTTTTATAAATAAAATATTTTTCAATTACAGCGTTTTAGAGTAAGCTTTAACCCCAAAGTTGGATTTTGATACTTCGTTGAAAACCATTCCTTGCAATTGATCTCCTGCCAACAAATTTAGACTTGAATACTCTAGCCTCGGCTATTTGCTTAAGAAGAACCGAGTGTACTTGTTCAATAGGAGGCTGCAATTAAGTGATGTGGCATATTCAAGAGGAGGCTGCAATTAAGTGATGTGGCGTATTCAAGAGGAGACTACAACAAAACCAATTATAAAAATTACAAATTTTCCCACTACAATGAAGATGTGTTGTGTAACCAAGCATTCCAGTCCATGAGATTACCGTGCCTAGTGGGAGGTCTCGAGTTTGAAACTCGCTAGGCACATATGGGTTTGAAACTCAATGAAGTGAGTTTCAGTTCTGATTACTTCAGCCTTCCCTCCCCCCAAGCCCCCTGGAGTAACAAAAAAAATGAAGATGTGTTGTGAAGTGACTGGCAAATCAGGGGAGGGGATGAAGGGTTTCACAACCACAATGATTATTAACCACCATTTAAAAATTTGGAGTCAGCTATGGGGGAACTAAGTGCAACACCAGTCCTTGTAGTATTTTGTTTCATCACCATCAAAATTAAGTAGAAACAAACATTGAATCATCCTTCCAGTGCTGAAGTTGCTGATATGATCTTTATCAGTTATGTGGTGATTATTGATGCTTGGCGGGTTCTGTTCCAAGTAAGGGTGAGGCGATCAAGCATTTCACCAGCATCCCTGTCCAATGCAGACATCCTTGCCCCTTACTCACTGCAAGAATTCTCCAGAACAACATTGAATAGAACACATGAAAATTGGAACTCCGTGAGATTCTGAAGGATTTCTGACTTGAACTCAGCACCTTCAATTTCATAAGAATCCAAATCCCCAAGCTTCCCTCACAAAACCAATCATATTACCTGCATATGTATCACTTCTAAATTTGAGGGGAAGTTCAAAACTCCAAAAGTTGGAGAATATTTTTCCAATCATCACAATGCATATATTGGGTCTTAACAACGGGCAGAACCGGTAAACAGAAGTAGTTAAATATGTGTACATACATATACACACCTTGAGTATAACTCAAACACACACATAGAAGACCATATTCTTAAAATGTATTGCAGCCAATAACTTCAAAACATAATTCAAACTAAGAAGACCCTATTAAAAATGTATTGCAATCTATAACTACAAAGTTTGATCCAGATTAATTCATAACTTCTCACTTCAAGATGACATTCGGGTGCCTTGCCTCCTTCATGATATCAAGATGTAGAAAATGTATATAGTAGCAGAAAATACCAACCCCATTATTGCAAAAATAGTATGCAAAAACTCTAAGTAATTAAATTTGTCTGTGAAGCTATTAGTGAAGTAGAAATTGTAGAGTTGCTTTCTCTTACGGGTCTCTCTCTCTCTCACTCTCTCTCTCTCACTCTCTCTCTCTCTCTCTCTCTCTCTCTCTCTCTCTCTCTATATATATATATATATATATATATATATATATATATATGGAATTAAATTATTCCATAAGAAAGAAGAAAACAATAATGGTTTCATAATCCATTAGCAAATATCACTGTTACAAAATGTAAGCAGTAACCACACTTTTAAGGATTCCATAGAGCCCATAAATGCAAAAAATCACCACCTCTTGCTTAAACAAAATTCTTATTGTTGCATTATATATCCTTATATGATGAACATTAACCTTAGTTCTTTTAAAATCTTTATAAAACTATTTTGATAAAATAAACAAATGAAGATGCCAAAAGGAACAGAAACTCAGAAACATTTAAATGAAACACGTAACACCCTGTATCTTTTTCTATACTTGTTTCTCTTTTCATTGTTTCTCCTTTTGTATCTCTTTCTTGAAAAATTTTCCGACTCCTAATTAGTAAAACTTCCTTTTCTTAAAAAAATATGGAGTTGAATTATCCTTTATTCAGTGAACAAAAAAATTAACTAACATCAATAAGAAAAGATATTGAACACTGAATAACTTAAAATGCTAAATGAGCAACTTGAGCGGTTCATACTTTCCTAAACTACTTGAAGTCAGATCCTAGATGATATGAAAGACTTGAATGGCATAAAACGTATAATTCAAATACACACATTGGCTGGCATGAATAAATTTTGAATGAGCAATTTTGGAATAAATTTATGAAATCATTTAAAACGCCCTCACCATAAGATTTTTTTGTGAAATTCATAGCAACCTTTGGGCCTTTAACTGCATCCACCCCTAGAAAAATTAGGTTGGTCAGGCTCATCACATATTCACCCGCCCCTCAGTCAGTGCTCTTTTATCCTCTGAAACCAAATTGACTAATTAAGCAGTGTTATTATTCAGAAATTCAGATCACTATGTTACAGCTGTTGTCATCAATTAATCCCAATTCAAAGCTATCTAACACAATTATTTTTTAGGACAAACACTTAGAACATAGCAAGCACAATAGTGCTGAAGTAAAAATGATTATTTTTAGCATTTGTCTCATGTGCTAAGTAGATAAGAACACAACTTCATAATTTTTAGCATATATTCACACGATATGATAATATATAGGTTAATTAAATCGCCCATTTTTTAAATGTCTTAAACATATATAATAACCATTTAGAAAACAAACAAAGAGTGATGTAAATAGCAGTACCTTTGACAAAAATAAAACATGTGCATGGACCGACTTTTTCCATTCTATCAAATATTTATCAATTCAACAATCTAATAAATATCAATCTCAGTCACCTGTTCCTAACAAAACCGTTCTAAAACGTTATCAATTGATATTTTTCATTTATTTAATTCGTATTTAAAACATATAACTACTCACTCAAATCACCTTCTCAAGATCAAACCAATATAGCAGGCATGATTCAATATTTCATTTTGAGAACAGATAATCACGCTAACAAAAGTATTTACCTTTAATAAAACTTTGTTGAAAGCTGCAGCCAACATTAGCTACCATTGGCAGCAGCATCCTCCTCCTCCTCAAAGCTGTCGCCATTCCCTTGATTTTGCTGGTTTCACCTCCGCCCCCATTGATTTTGGCGCTATCTTTCTGATGGCTACCGTAGCTGTAAAGGAGAGCCACAGGTCTGTCGTCCCCGTCTCTGAGATCTGGATATAATTTGATGAGACAACTGACCGCGAGCAGTCTCAATCAGCTTGTCAAATCGACCGATTCTCTGCCTCCTCCGAGCCAAATCGCCACCTGAAATCCTGAAGTGGAGGTGAAGTTTCTGCCAGACGTCGTGAAGTGCTGCGGCTTGGATTGTCCTATGATTCCCGATGAAATCGGCGATGTCCCTTGAGCCCAACACATAACTATGTATATGTATGTATATGCGCACAGTGAGAAAGATATACAATAGTCGGGTTTGTTCTTTTTTTCAACAATGGACAACAAAAAATTCGAGGTAATAAACGTGATTGTGACACCCATACATAATCCGTGCATTGATATACAGAGTACTGATTTCATGCATAATTAGTACTCAATTAACACCAAAAGATCAACAGGTAATAAGATGAACGCGTCGAGTATGGTGCAGTTGGAACGGACAATCAATAATTCCGACCCATTTTTCCTGACCCATTTTTTGACCACTTTTTATCTGGTGTTTGGGCGGGAAAATGAGCTGAAATCCCACTTCCTTTTGTATATCTTAAGATTTTATCCCATTTAAATTGGGACCGAGATAATTCTGAACAGTTCGGGACGTCTCAAACTAACAAAAGAGTATCAAACAAAAAATCATTATTTGTAATTAAAACGTAAAATATTAGCATTTCTTAAGTATCATGCACCAAAATATTAACATTTTAAAAGTTAACTGATGTTCATAACAAGTAGTTATATATTACAAAAAAACTAAAAGCCATTAGATTTTAATTAAGTTTAGCAAAAGAAGAAAATAAAATTTAAAGTAAAGCAAAAAAAGAACTAATTTGTTCAAAATTATGTGTTCTAGCGTTGGGATACTCATATGCAAAGTGCAAACATATAGAGTGAGACACAAACCTAAGTTAGTAATTTTTATGTTAGGTGCTATTTTTAATTTAAAAAATTGAGCTTGAAAAACTAATTTCTTTTTTATTTTTTGAGCTACACTAAAAATTACTCACATGCTAAAACACTATATAGTCATTACAAACGGGATAACGGGGCGGTTTGGGATAACCTTCCGGTGTCCCGATCATGTTTCATTTTAAACCGATACGGAACCGGTGCAGGACAAAATAATTGGGTCCCAAATGAAACGGGACAACACTGGTACAATTTCGTGATATACCGGAATGGGACAATGGGAGCGGGATTCTTGCCTACCCCTACATTTTACACTAGAAATAGAAAATCAGACTCAACCAAACCTGTCATCCAAATCCGTGAGTGCAGATCGAAGTCGCGCCTATTACATACCGGTCCATTTTTCGGTTCAAACTTTTTCAAGTTTCTGATTCCGATCTAATCAAATTTATAATATTTAGATCTGGACCGGTTAGATCATAATTAATTATTATTCTTAAATACATTTTCTATGTAAAATGTATTAGTATGTAACAAATATTAATAACTAATTCGATTTAGTTTTATTTAAATACTCTCTCCGATTCCAAAACAACTTCAGTGTTTGACTTTACGGTGTCTAGGAAAGTGAATTTTTTTATGACTTTTCCAATATGCCCCCAAGGAGATCTTCCCCCAATCTAATCAAA